TTTATGTTAAAGGTGATGGTTTCTCTTTGCCATAGTTTGAATGTTTGTCCCCTCCAAATCTCATGTTGAAATTTGATCCCCAATGTTGGCAGAGGGGCCTAAAAGAAGATGTTTTGGTCATGGCAGCGGATCTCTCATGAACGGCTTGGTCCCATCCTCTTGGTAACCAGTTCTTGCTCTATTAGCTTCAGGGATTGCTGGTTGTTAAAAAGAGCCTGTCCCCTCCTTCCCTTTCCCTCATTTCCTCCCTCTCACCACGTGATCTCTGCACACACCAGCCCCTCTTCACCTTCTTCAATGAGTGGAAACCGCCAGAGGCCCTCACCAGGTGCCCAATCTTGAACTTTTCCAGATCTCAGGATAGTGAGCCAAATACACCTCTTTTCTTTACAAATTACCCGGTCTCAGGCATTCCTTTAGAGCAATGCAGATGGACGGACACCCTCCTTTCTGGGTCCTAGTATTCTCTAGAAATTAAATTTTCTAAAGAATCAGGCTAAAGAAAACCAAATGTATGCTGTTATCAAATTCATCTTCCATATAGTTCAGCTATTGGACATTTTATTACATTTTCCTCTGAGCTTTGATTATCAGATTTATTGTAACACCCACATAGCACTCACATCCTATAATGTGAACAGAATGTCGTTTTGGCAATGAAGGAGGGATGACATGATTCTTTACGCAGTTCTTTTCACATTCCGTTTTAGTAACAAACACCAGGCAGCTATTTTAACCAAGGCATTTGCAGAAATATTTTCCCATACCCTGAATTTAAATATTCCATTACATTCTCTTGCGCCATCAGAGACTTCCACTGTGTTACCCATAAAAAGTTTATGCTAATCTTGCCTATTTTCTTTCTCTCTCTTTTTTAACATTTCAGGTTCAAAGCAAAGCCAACGATAATTAATATAAATTAAGAAACCTGTTCCTCATCAACCTCTCACAATGTAAATATGCTGCACAGAATCACAGGAGATTAGCTTCCAAGTCCACTGAAATGGTCATGAAAGAGGCCAGATATATTTGGGTAACACTCAGTAAAGTCAACTGCTATGAATGTGTCTAGAGCTGTCTGCCGTATAATTCCGAGAATTCAAATGAGTTGCTATAAGATTGCATGAATGCTCTGACAGAGTCACATCTTATTTAGAGCTGGTAGCCTGGACAAAGGCTCATATTTCTCTCAAGGTTATTAATAAACATCTGTGCTGTCCCATATAGTAGCCACTAATCACATGTGGCTATTGAGCACTTGACATGTGGCTGGTCTGAGATGTGCTGTGAAAGTAAAGCATACAGTGGATTCCAAAGAGTTAGTTTTTTTTTTTTTAAAAAAAGAATGTAGCCCATCTCGTTAATAGTTTTCATTTTTTACATGCTAAATTTTAAAAATTAAGTTTTACTATTAAATCCATATTAAAATAGTAATTTGGATATATTAGGAACACATAAAATCTATTATTGAAATGAATTGCACTTTTTTGTGTTTTAGAATATGGCTAACCTAAAAAATTTAAATTACAAATATGGCTGTCATATTTCTGTTGGACAGTGTGGCTCTAGGCTGTGGCGTAGTTAACTGTGATAACGTGAAAGTTAACTCGATAGAGAAACAGGGTGTAAATCTTAAATAAATAGTAAGACAGATCAAGTCAAACCAAATTTAAAATATTCTTATCCTCTTCTTGCCTTTGACCCATTGCTACTGGCTCAGAAATATATTAAGGTAAGCAGAAGTGAAGCTCGGAGTTATCCAAATGTAGATTAGCCCTGCTGTTTTCAGGGTCACCTTGCCCTGTCACTTAGCAATGCAACCTCAGGGTGATGTAAACCAACTTTACTGTTTCTTAAGAAAGACAGTTAGGATGGATGGCCCTTTCTCCCAAAAGGCTATCACATGCCATTAAATAGTTTAACATTATGAAGTTTTTGGACTGGAGAGCCATTTGGGCAGCACGGGTAATGGAAAGCGAACAGGATAAGGAGTCCAAGGGTAGGGGTTCAATCCTGGGTCCACTAGACACCCTAGGCCAAGGTCAGACAGAGCCTCTGAATTCGGTTTTCCTTACCTGTAAAATGGGGATGAAGATGGTAATAATACCATCCTCATACCAACAATAGACTGTTGTGAGGATTAAAAAAAATGAATATTTAAAGAAGTAAAATGGAAAGTATTACACACATGTTAGCTGTTATCATTATTTTAATCTGCTGGACTCTAAGACTGACCTTTCTTTACTAAGACACAGCCACTCCTCTCTGTGTGTTCTGGGAAGGAAGAGAAGGCAAACAAGGAGGACTCTGTCCAGATCACCTGACTTCTCAAGACCTTGCCTTCTCCTCCTTCTTGTTCACTATAAAGACTTATTGGAGGGGTGTCATTAAAGCACTAGGAAAACTGCAAAATCTTACACAAACGTAAGGCATTGTTGCCGATCTGGATAATCATCAAGAATTGATTTTTACTGAAAGAGAGAGAGAAAAAAAATCCCATGTTGGTTACCCAGTAACTCCTCTTACTAGGAAAAGTAGCCAAGTTCCAAAACATACTTTCTTGTATTTTTTAACTCACACATACTAATTCAAGATGGTAGTGGTGATAAGATGTGAAGTGAAAAAGGAAGGCTAGAGTATCCATCTTTTGCTCAGGTCTTGGCAAGATGACACAAAAGGATATCTTCCTTTATTTTCAAGTAGGGCTGTATTCAGCATTATATGAGGATCACAAACTGCAGAACAGCACTCTTAATAGTAAATGTTATTTTGTAGCTAAGTCATTATATTTGGCTTCTTTGGAAAAAATACTCATCTGTATTTATTTTTGAAACCAGTGCTATATAAGCCAGGTACCCCAAGAGGCATTGACAGGATTTACACAGCCATAAAGTTATTTGGACTCCAAGTAGGACGTATACAGATGCAACAATGACTTTAAAAATATGAGTCTTTCAAACTTCACATAAAGAAATAAGTGCTCATAAAAGTAACAGAGCAAAATAAAAGCAGCATATCAACTTATATCTAGCTATATACAATAACTAGAAGCAATTTTCCTCACATTTTGATTTATTATTTTTAAAGGGAGCTTCCTTTTACAAAAATTTTTTTTTTTCTGGTATAGTGGCACACTTCTTCATTCTCAATTGTTTTTCATCATTCTCAGTATTTATTCAGTTTTACCAATGTTATCGATAATAATTTAAAAATTAAGTTTATGTAGTTTTGATTTATACTTTATTTCTTTCACTTTATTTCATTGTCCTTTCTTGGCACTTATTAATTTTTGTGTAATGTTTCCCTAATTTTGTGTTCTAGCATATGGATAAAGTCTTTTTTTTTTTGTAATCTCAAACTCCTGGAGACTCAAGCAATCCTCCTGCCTCAGCTTCCCAAGTAGCTGGGACTACAGGTGTGCACCACCACGCCCAGCAAATTTTTTAATATTTTGTAGAAATAGGGTCTCACTATATTGCCTAGGCTGGTCTCAAACTCTTGGCCTAAAGCAAGTCTCCCACCTCAACCTCCCCAAATGCTAGGATTATAGGCATCAGCTACCACACCTGGCCAATAAAGCCATTCTTAAACATAAAACTTCAAACTGAGGATGGCACTTATCAGCTTATACTATATTAGATTGTTCTGTGATTAACTATCTCCAGGCTTTCTGTTCAAATGAGATTAAATAAAAATATGCATTAACACACACACACACACACACACTTAGTAAGGAGAACTAGTATCTATATGAATATGTAAAGTCAAGGAGCAAAGAGGAAAGTGAAGAAGATGCATCATGCTAAATTACTGAGGCAGTGGAAGCAATCCTGTTAGGGAAAGGATAAAAGAACAAAGTCTACTATTAGCCTTAAAAATATTGGAGAGGCAGCCAAATGTGCTCTCCAGAAGCTAAGAGATGGAAACATTCGGTAAGTATGTGGATTGTCATCATTATGATAAGCACAGATAAATATATCATTATTCTCTGATTCCAGCAATTTTTATCTTTTATTTTTATTTCTTTTTGTTTCAATAGATGTCCATTTCTGATGTTTTTTAACCTTTTTCTTTTTTTTTTTAAGTTTAGAAGCTAACCACCACCATTGTTACTACTGCCATTGACAGGCCCATCACCAATACGCCTAGACTTCATACTAATAAAGACACAAGATGCAAAACTACCCCTTTACTTTAGTCTTTAGTAACCCTAATGACACTGTCAACCTTTGTCAGGGGAGCAAGTGAAAAGTAAACACGAGTGAATGAGCCTAAGAGTTATTCGTAAGAGTAAAGTCACCACTGCTAATTCCAAGTAAGCTTCACTTTGGTTCTTACATGTAATATTAATACAAACTGAACATGAGTTGTGGTTATACCATTTGGTTATACCTTCAGAGAACAGCAGGTTACATCTTCAGAGAACTGCTTTTCCTGAAGTATATCATGGAATACATCATGTCTTGGGAAATGCCTTACCAAATACCAAATATAAATGCCTTACCAAATAAAAATGCCAAATAAAAATGCCTTATACCAAAATGCCTTATACCAAATTAAAATGCCTTACCAAAAAATAAAAATAAAAAATAAAAGAAGATGACTTTGGGAAATGCCCATAGTCCCTTAGTCCCTTCTTAAAGATTCACAAGGCATATCAGCATGTTAAAACTTCTTGCAATAAAGGAACTATCTTGACTTAGCATGTCCTAAGTTTATTTGATCCTGTAACCCTTCAGCATTCCTATCCCTTTACAGAAAATCTATGATCACCTGCCAGAATTAGTATTTCCAGAAAGACACTCTGGGAAAAACTCCCTTTGACTGATAAGGGATAGAATTAATTGAGATGCACATTACTTGCTCCCAAAGTTTGCAAATACTAATTATTCAGCTCTAGGAAGAGCCAACAGCAGCACAATCAAATGAGTGTTGAGAAGGAAAGGGTTTCTTGAAATCACAAGGCCGCCTGCTCAAGGGTAAATAAATGTTCCACTTACTTAAGGAGATTGCCCAGATTAAAAAGAGCCCGGTTGTGCTGTGGGTGTAGCTGGAGAGCCCTCTGATAGTACATCTTCGCCTCCGCTGTGTCTCTCGTCAGCGTCCCAAGGTTGTTTAGGGCACTTGCATGGCGTGGATACAACCTGAAAAGTCAGAAACATTAAGCCGTGATACTTCAAAAACTTCTAAGTTGGGCACCATAGGCTTGTTCTTTCCCCTCCCCTGTCCAGTTATGCCAGAACCAAAATGAAACACTGAATTCTTCCTTTACTTGAATGGTTTGCCTGTGTCCAATCTTACTGGTCAACTATTTTTGCAGCTGAAGGTACAGAAATATGGTGGGGAAACATATATTTGACATTTAGCAGTACAAACAGTAACCCTCTATGGGGTCCAATGTATACTACTCTGCTGATGGATATACCCAAAGCCCAGACTCTACCACTATACAATATATACATGTAATAGAATTCAATTTGTATCCCCTAAATCTATTAAAATTTAAAAAAAAAATCCTCACGTAGTGTAAGAATAAATAGCATGCAAACCTACCAGTGTTAAATAAATTTTAATCCTTTGGAGCCTAGGGTTACATTCAACTTCCTGTGGTAGAAAATCCTCCTTGCCTAGCTGCTGAGTTTCTGGCCTGGCAGGCAACTCAGCTGACCAGCTTGTTCAGGGCGGCCCACTTTATCAGATGCTGGGAGATCATTTAGTGAGGGGTCTTCATAAACATCTTTGGATTAGAGCATTATTAAATAGTATAACTAAGAAAGGATGATGTATGATGTCTCCCCATAAACTTTTTTTTTTTTTTTTAACACAGAGTCTTGCCCTGTCACTCCAGCTAGAGTGCAGTGGAATCATCACAGCTCACTGCAACCTCAAACTCCTGGGCCCAAGTGATCCTTCTGCTTCAGCCTCTCAAGTAGCTGGGACTATAGGCATGCACAAGGACGTAGCCAATTTTTCTATTTTTTGTAGAGACAGGGTCTCACTCTTACACAGGCTGGTCTTGAACTCCTTGGCTTCAAGCATTCCTCCTACCTCGGTCTACCTGTAAGAGTGCTAGGATTGCAGGCATGAGCCACCACGCTCATAAAATAAACTTTATCTCTAAAATGCCTCACCACCCCAAATCTCTTTTTTCCATTTTTATCTCATTTCCCAGCTCCTACTGCAATTTGGCTCCAACTGCCCTGACATAGTTCTCAGACTGAAAGTCTTGAGAACCTGGAACACTTAGAAATGAAAAATTAAATAATGCACATTGAAGTGCAAGACAGCATTCCCCAAGTCCAAAGGCAAAGGACGGGGTATACATCAGTAAGCCAAATTTATGCTGATTGAGGTAGGAAAGGAATTAATTTATGTCCTCAACTCAAAACTGTAAAGAAGCCAAGTCAGCACGGCTACATAATTGAGTTGTTTCTGATACATTTAGAGTGGACGTTTCCGCAGTCTAATAGGTTTGCTCCATCTCTGTCACCCAGAGTATGTTAAATAAGCCGGTGGAGCTAGCTTTTAATGTAGAAATGCCAAGATAATGCCCAAGTAATAAAAGCAGGATCTGTGCTTGTCAAGTCTCTTGACAATCAAATGCTATGCTTGCCCCCTGTTCTGCGCCTTCTAAGAAGATCAAGGGACAGAAAGGGTTCCTATTAAAAGAAGGACAAAGAAGACAAGTTGCACATCTGTTTTTTTTTTTTTTTTTTTTTTTTTTTTTTTTTTTTTTTTTTTTTTTTTTTTACTTTTGCTCAACCCAGAGTTCCTTAAGTTTATTTGACCCATCCTTACTTCCTTACAGAATAGTTATGAACATCTTTCAAAACTAATATTTCTTGAAAGGCACTTTGTAATGTGCCTCTTGACTGACAAGGGACAGAATCAATTCAAGTGGATAGTACATCCTCCCAAAGCCTGAAAGCCCTAATTATTCACAGCAGCTTGGGAGGCTGTTGGGAGAGATATATTTAGAGCCAGCACAGGAGGTGTTGTTTGCTACTCTCTGATCACCTTTAATTAGCAAAGATAACTTTAGGGTCCCCGATGCTAGTCCTTTCACACCCAACCTCACAGTTTCTGAGAGATAAGTGCTTGGCAGAGGGTATGAGAGCTTCGAGGAGAGGCAAAAAATGCTCACGTACCTGCCCGTTCACTCCATGCCCAGGAAAACAGTCCTGGGCTGCCTTTTGGAAGTGGTTGCAGACAAAGCACATCGCAGCCAGGACTCAAATACTTCTAAAGAAGCTTTTGTTTTTTGTTTTTGATGTTAAGAAAAGCATTCTGACCTCCCAACGATTTAAGGGGTGTTTAGTGAACGGGGTGAGGACAACTTCCGGGCTCCTCGTTTCCTTTATGACAAGGGGTAACAAGAAACCTTTCTGTAAGGTGTCCCTTCTTTTATCTCAGAAGAGGTCATTTCGTAACAATTTCTCTTTTCCTTTTCTTTTTAGGCTTTGGAACCCACAAAATAAACACCTGAGGTGAAAACACTAAGGAAAAGAACAGTCTACATTCCGTAAGACCTTCCACAATGGGCCTGCCTGTGTGAAGGTGCCTGTCTGCTTCATCTTGTTCTCAGCTCAACCTCACAGACATTTTTTTTTCTTTTTTTTTTTTTTGAGACAGAGTCTCACTTTGTTGCCCCGGCTAGAGTGCCATGGCGTCAATCTATCTCACAGTAACCTCAAACTCCTGGGCTCAAGCAATCCTTCTGCCTCAGCCTCCCAGGTAGCTGGGACTACAGGCATGAGAGAGATGGTAAGAGTGCTAGGATTACAGGCATGAGCCACCACGCTCATAAAATAAACTTTATCTCTAAAATGCCTCACCATCCCAAATCTCTTTTTCCATTTTTATCTCATTTCCCAGCTCCTACTGCAATTTGGCTCCAACTGCCTGACATAGTTCTCAGACTGAAAGTCTTGAGAACCTGGAACACTTAGAAATGAAAAATTAAATAATGCACATTGAAGTGCAAGACAGCATTCCCCAAGTCCAAAAGCAAAGGACGGGGTATACATCAGTAAACCAAATTTATGCTGATTGAGGTAGGAAAGGAATTAATTTATGTCCTCAACTCAAAACTGTAAAGAAGCCAAGTCAGCACGGCTACATAATTGAGTTGTTTCTGATACATTTAGAGTGGACGTTTCCGCAGTCTAATAGGTTTGCTCCATCTCTGTCACCCAGAGTATGTTAAATAAGCCTGTGGAGCTAGCTTTTAATGTAGAAATGCCAAGATAATGCCCAGTAATAAAAGCAGGATCTGTGCTTGTCAAGTCTCTTGACAATCAAATGCTATGCTTGCCCCTGTTCTGCGCCTTCTAAGAAGATCAAGGGACAGAAAGGTTCCTATTAAAAGAAGGACAAGGAAGACAAGTTGCACATCTTTTTTTTTTTTTTTTTTTTTACTTTTGCTCAACCCAGAGTTCCTTAAGTTTATTTGACCCATCCTTACTTCCTTACAGAATAGTTATGAACATCCTTCAGAACTAATATTTCTTGAAAGACACTTTGTAAAGTGCCTCTTGACTGACAAGGGACAGAATCAATTCAAGTGGATAGTACATCCTCCCAAAGCCTGAAAGCCCTAATTATTCACAGCAGCTTGGGAGGCTGTTGGGAGAGATATATTAGAACCAGCACAGGAGGTGTTGTTTGCTACTCTCTGATCACCTTTAATTAGCAAAGATAACTTTAGGGTCCCCGATGCTAGTCCTTTCACACCCACCTCACAGTTTCTGGAAGATAAGTGCTGGCAGAGGGTATGAGAGCTTCAAGGAGAGGCAAAAAATGCTCACGTACCTGCCCGTTCACTCCATGCCCAGGAAAACGTCCGGGCTGCCTTTTGAAGTGGTTGCAGACAAAGCACATCGCAGCCAGGACTCAAATACTTCTAAAGAACTTTTGTTTTTGTTTTTGATGTTAAGAAAAGCATTCTGACCTCCAACGATTTAAGGGGTGTTTAGTGAACGGGGTGAGGACAACTTCCGGGCTCCTCGTTTCCT